GAAAATGGCTAACTCGTGAACCGGGAAAGTTGGGGTCTGAAATTTTAGGAGAATATTCCCCGTCCAAATACAGCTTGGTGCAGTAGTGCCTGTCTGGTGAACTGTAGTTGCAGGAACACAGTGATTTGGGCGTTGTGGACTTATCTGAGGATGAGGAACTGAGAAGTGCTCTCGACATGCACCAGCTGATCAGTCAACATGCACCGTTATCTGAATCGCCGCCACAAACCGCTGATCAGGTCATCGAGGAAATCGATCAAATGCTTCAGGTATCGGCGATTCATCACTCCTCAGCTCCTCCGTAGTAAAAATGAGCGAGCTCGTCTGTGCTAGTTTGTTTCGGGAGAGATGAGCGTATCCGCTGACAGGGTCAGAGTTGTGTTTCAGCACCGCAGCGGCTCCACAGTCTGCGTAGAATTAATCAAGCTAGTTTTGTGGTGATTTACAGGCGAGCACTTATGGGCCATCTCCAATTCGGCTTCTTGACATGTGTGTGTTAAAAAAGTATCAAAATTATGCACGTATGTATATAAATATGTAATTACTGGAACTGTGTAATTGTTCAGTCATGCGACTTCTCGGGCTCTGTGATGACCGATCACACGATGGAGTCGGTGGACAGTATGTATTCGTCGATGCGCTCACCACTGCCAAATGGGCAGTACGAAATGGATGTTAAGTTTCGGCAGGCGGTCGCCATCATGACAAATCGTGAAAGTGAGTTGTTCGTTTAATTTCATTTACGGAAAAAGCAGTTTGGATTTCGTCCGTTTACTGGCTCACTAGCATTGTAGTTACTATGGCATGGACCAATTAAACAGGTCACTCTTTTTTTGTTCACAATTTGTTTGTTTTTTTTTTTTTTTTGATTTACTCGAGTTCTTTTACAATCTATAGGTTTTTCAGGGCTTGAAGGTGAGGTGATTTCGGCGTTTGTGATGCTTTTGACGTGTATTCGCTCTGAGCTTGTAAAGTTTTTTCTTGCTGTCCCTTTCTCCGCTCGTCTCGCTCCATCGTACCTACCGGTCTCGTAATTAGTTTGCCATATGAGATTTAGAATCAAAATTTCTCAGTTTAATTGTGAAACACCGCACCAAATTTGGGGTCGCCTCTTATTGGCGCTCACTCGTTTCCCATATAAGATTGGTGTATTGCTTCTTGTGCTTAGTCCAAGTTACTAGTTGTTCGTTTTTGTTGTGCATGATATCCCTTGTGTGAAATTTCATGCGCCCACCCCGCTCCTTCTCCTTCCGTGCCCCTCATAAAGTTTTCGATAGGAATTTAGCGAAAATTATTAGGCTGGATTTGGATTTCCATAGAAATGCAGACAGTCCCAAAAAAAAAAACCCCGGTTTTCAAAATGCCGCTGTCCCCGGTAGGCCTGTGTATTTTTTAGTGGCTTGTTTTTCACATATTGCTTCCCTACTGTCTACTGCGCGTTGAAATTAAATTCTACAACCGTCTTTTCATTTCGGTTCACTGTTTCAATTTGCAGGTTTGGAGTCGCTTTCATACAGCAGACTGCTTGCACTGAGTGCCG